GGTTTATAGAGGCTAAGTAAACCTGGGAGATAACGCTGTTGCTCAGCGCTTCAAGTTTGTGAGGAACAAGGTGATCTTCCAAGTCTCCATGTCCTAGTTGTCCATATTTGCTCCATCCATAAGTATACAATGCTCCAGAATAGGAAACTGCTATTGTGTGCCTCCATCCACAAGCAACCATCGACATTTTCTCACCCTACAAGAATACAATAGGTGATACTACGATTTATTTAATGAATTACTGAATTTCAAATGCAAGTTTAAACAAGTAGATAGCTTCTTACACTAACAGAGGTAACTCTTTCAGGAACCAAGCGGTCATTCCTGTCACCTAATCCCAAATTTCCATATCTTCCCCATCCCCATCCATAAAGGTCACCATCTTCTGTAACCGCAGCAGTGTGTTCTGCACCAGCTGCAACCATTTTGATTCGTATCCCCTGCACCCATTACCAAATTTCGAAGTGTTTGATGTAACTCTCTGGATTAACCAACCTAATTACATAAACTTACAGTGTCTCCTATTATTAACATCTTCTAATTTACCTAGTCAAGGCAATTATCAACAGACCCTATAACACACATGAGTTATAGCTATTTTTAGACCCCCCAAATTATCAGTTACCAATCCTTAACTTGAACTAATATGACCCTTAACTAGTAATACTAGTAGTATCTTAAAGAAGAGAAAGTTGCATCAATGGACACAACATTGACTATATTCTGAAGCTACAATGAGAAAAAAAGATGTTAATATTATGTCATTAGAAGAATATATAGGGGACACAAACCTCAAAGGCTTGAATCTTCTGAGGCACTAGAGAATCTTCTGTGTCACCCAGACCAAGTTGACCATTCTGGTTCCTCCCCCAGCTTTATATACAGAAAATTCAAAAGAGATATTGTGTCCACAATAACCAAACAAATATAAAATTACATTAGAGCAAACTGTGACTGATTGGTCCTAAGGAGAAGAAACAATACCTCTGAACCTCACCATCCATAGTCACAGCCAAACAATGACTATCACCACAGGCAATCTGCTTTATACGAATACCATGTAGTGCTTTGATAGGAAGTGGAGTAAACAAGTCACTAGAGTTCCCATGTCCTAATCTCCCAAAATCACCCCTTCATAAAACACATGTAGGCAGGCTTAAAACTCTGTGCAAATAAGTCTATTTAAAACAAAACAAAACAAAACAAAAGAAAGATTCATGAAGAGGAAGCAAACCATCCCCAACTGTAGACCTCCATGCGAGACTCAGAATAAGCAACCGTGTGGTCAGCACCACAAGTAACAGAAACGATTTGATGGTCATCCAAGGCACTTAGCTGAGTAGGAGAAGCTCTATCCTCTGCATCTCCATGACCTAACTGTCCATCCTCTCCTCTACCCCATGAGCAAACAATGTCCCCAGCTACAATAATATCCAAAAAAACATGAAACTATCATCCATTTAAACGATCTAATAGTTTGTAACCGACACAAAAAGGAAAGAAAAGAGTGAGATACATACAGAGAAGAGCTACGGAGTGGCTAGCACCAGCGGATATGATGAGAACAGAACGTGGTGGAGCAGTAACATCACCAGCAGACACCATCTCCTCCTCTGCCATCGATCACAGTCTCTCTCTCTCTTTCTAAGATATTTTATTTTTATGAAAAGCAAATATTTTTGTAATAAAATTTTGGAAAATTTGCAGCTTCTCTTTCACTATCCGTATGAGGCAGTAGTAGATGGTTGGTAATAAAGGCGCCATGGACGGTGGTTTTTGCACATGTCAAAAAAATTGCAATTTTTAACTTTTTAATAAAAAATAAAATAAATTTTTTAACCAATTAATTTCGAAGCGCATAATTAACAATACTAATTGTGTGTTTTACTCTGAAATGATTATTATAATATATAGTTTCTTGTAATTTAACCGCACAGTAATCTCTTTTCCACTTGTCGTATATGAGAGAGAAATAGTACAGAGGCTTTAATTGTAGAGGGGTCCCTATTCACATAACTCTCTTTCTTGACCATTCACATTAGGGCTGGGCATTTTATCCGTTATATTTGATTCGATTCGTTATTCGTTTCGATTCGATTCGAAAATTCCGGATATCCGTAAACTTTCGAATCAAAGCAAATACAAAAATTCAATATCCGTTAAAATCGAAGCAAATCACAAATAGTAAAATTTTGGGAAGCGGATATCCGATTCGATCCGTAAATATATAAATATATGTATATCTTGATTATATTTAACATTTTAAATGTATAAAATTATATAATTATTACTCTAGCATATGATTTTGAACAATTCTATTGAAATTATTACTTATATAAAAGTATTACATAAAAAGAAAGAAAGAAAATTATGACAATTATATTTTTTTTCTTAAATTTTGTGTTATTATAATTGTAACTTAAGCTTAAAAAAATTACAAAATATATAAATTCACTATTTCATTTAAGTTTTATTTTATATATCATGCAAAAAAATATTTTTGCAAAGCAATTTTGTATCAAAATCTTAAGATTATTTGTATTAATCAAAATGGATGAGATATCCGTAAATATTCGTAAATATCCGCAAATATCTATTTATTTTCCGGATATCCGTTTTTCCGGATATCCGTATTTTTTCGAAGCAAAGCAAATACCAAAATTAGATATCCGTAACATTCGAAGCAAATCACAAATACTTTAAAAAATCCGGATATCCGATCCGTGCCCACCCCTAATTCACATAGTTCCAAATACGGACCTCACCGGTAAGTTTATACTTTTATTAATTGAGCGTTTTATTTTTCGTATTAACTCTCTTTCTTAACCATTCATTTACGGTTTTTCGTTTTCAAAAATATGAATAAAAACGTTTACTGCTGTTAGAACTCAGAAGTCGAAATAAATTCAAGTAATTTTACCTGTGTTCAGTTCAAATTGGTCACTTACGTTTCCTTCCTATTCACAAGTCTTCAATTTAATCTTTTTGACTAAAAAAGTCAAACGAGTAAGTAACTGGTAAAGACCAAAATGTTTTAGTTTCGTTCAATGAATTCAGTTGCATTTTACATGCACCCAAAGGGTGGACGCGGATCTGATATCCGAGTTTTTTAAGGTATTTGTGATTTGTTTTGAATGTTACGGATATCTAATTTTGGTATTTGTTTTGCTTCGAAAAAATATGGATATCCATAAACATGGATATCCAGAAAATATATAGATATTTGTGGATATTTACGAATATTTACGAATATCTCATCCATTTGAATTAATACAAATTTGCTTTGCAAAAATATATTTTTGTATAATATATAAAATAAAAATTAAAAGAACTAGTGAATTTACATATTTTTAACTTTTTAAGTTTAAGTTACAATTATAATAACACAAAATTTAAGAAAACAAATATAATTGTCACAAATTTTTTTCTATTTTTTATGTAATACTTTTATATAATAATAATGTGAATAGAATTGTTAAAAATCATGTGCTAGAATAATAATTATATAATTTTATACATTTAAAATTTTAAATATAATCAAGATATACATATATTTATATATTTTAGGTATGAATCGGATATCCGCTTCCCAAAATTTTAATATTTGTGATTTGCTTCGATTTTAACGGATATTGACTTTTAGTATTTACTTTGATTCGAAAGTTTACGGATATCCAGAATTTTTGAATCGAATCACAACGAATAACGAATCAAATCAAATTTAACGGATAAAATGGCTAGCACTATCCAACACATGCATATCAGTCATTAGTGACATCACATAGAACGTAAACTGCGTACATATGAATCATAACAGTGATATATCATATTGATCGTAAATTGTGATTAGCAATGTTTATTCATTCACACGCGTAACGCACAAAGATCGCAAGATCGTTTTTATGTGATCCGAGTCATGCACACGTGGTGAAAGTGTAGAAACTAGTCGTAAGCTCCAGATGATATAGTTCTAGGTATTAATGTTTTGTTAGCGGTCAAGATACACCTGATACTCAAATATAAATTTCATATTATATAACAATCTAAAACATCCATGATCCATACCAACTCAAAATTATCATTCTTTGTTTTGTTGAAACGGTCAATGATATTTACATGAGTGACAAGATATTTCATTGGATGTGATACACATGACCTTAAAAGCATGGAACTATGGATACAGATAATATGGACCGACTATCATCACATCGACTTAAAACATGTTCTATGCGAAAACCAAAGGTTTGAATTGCTTGTCAGTGACACGTTGTCACATCTATAGTTAAGAAATTAATTGAATGAAGACATTATTGCATTGTCTAGCCTAATACATCAAGATTCATGGGTATTGTCCGATTTTGGCATTAAAGTCAACGTGACAACACTCTAAATCAAGATAAGTCTCTAATTGCGACATTTGTTTTGTTGTGACCTCTTCCACCACAATGGGTTCGTCTCCATCACACAGCACATATGTTTTGCATTATCATTATTAACATTTTGTGTTATTTTTCTTTCTAATTGTACAATAATTTAGGCTTTTGAGATGAGGTTTTAACTAGTATTGTTGCGACACTAACTTTATGAACATGAAAGCATTAAAAACATTACGGTGAGTACATATCGAAGTTTGTCGATAAAGTACAATTATAACCAACACCCACGTGGGGAGAGCAAGTCTTTGTATTTTTATGTCTCCTTTAACCACCACTTTCGTCTTGAACTTGTACTTTTCTAAGTATAACTGCCTGATTCTAGTTCTCCATAACATCTTATCGAAAGATAAAAAGGGGATCGAATTTAAAATAACCTTTCAGGGTTTGCAAGAAAAATGTTAGAAACATTCTGGTATTGAGAGATATGGGGAAGATCATGTGAATATTTGGATGAGTGATGAAAACCATCTGTAGACAAGACAGTTTTTTTTTTTAATTTGGATGTCTCGTGATTTTGTTGTGAGAGACAGAAAATGAATGACCGGGAGAGAATCATCTAGCAGATCATGCTCGAGTAGTAGCTTTATGTGTTGAGTTTTTGCCCACTGAGAATGAAGCTGCTTGAAGCTCCTGCCTGATTCGTTCTCTCTTTAGACAAAATAAATGATACATTATTAGTTCAGCTGTCCGTGATAAAAACCACATATATATTAATATCATTCAGCATGCATGTAAAATTAATCAATGCTAATGCCAGTTTGATCTGATATATAGTTCTCAAAGATTTAGGCTAAATTTGAATATACACAAACTAATATCTCAGAGAATGCAGCCCACATTTTATATTGCTTGGAGATGTACAATTATATCAAGAAAATATTCTATATACTTTAAGCACAATCATCACTAGGAATATATCATATGAAGTATATGTATCCAAAGTTACACTAAGGACATGCATACCTTTCTCTCCCAATAAGGCAAGAAACAGACAAAGTCATAAACTGGAGTAATGGTCTGAACCAGAACGGCGTTTATTCCTGTGAAAAGCAACAGTCCCATCAATGGCCGTGTCCTGTGAGGCATATCCTTAACCAATTTTATCAGACTACTCTGCAATCATTAGTTAAGACTTCAAATCTATGGACACTATCACTGATTCTACAAACTATCTCATTAAAACCTAAAACCAAAGAACCAACGTTGAAATTCAAATGAGAGAATTTACCGAAACAGAGAGACACTCACCACTCTGTTTTGTACCGTCGCCGTGATTAGTGTGGAGATTAGGTTTCCTTTCTATTATGTAATTCGGTTTCCGGTTTAGTTCGGTTTAATTTGAAAATGTAAGAAACTAAAGAATTTCGGTTACGGGTTCGTTAATTTCGGTTATTTGGTTATGTAGATTAAACCAAACCATTTAGATCGGTTCAAATTAGATTTTGTGTAGGCATAGGTATTCGGGTACCCGTTCCGGTATGGATCGGTTCTTTTGGGTATTAGATTTTTCGGTTTGAATTCAGGATCTATACGGATATTATACACTTTATGGTCGGGTTCGAGTTGGGTCCTTCCAAATCTGGGTGAGTTCGGTTCTGATGTATAGAAACTTGAAAATAACCAAAGAACCAATGTATCTGAAACGGGTCGGTTATTTGTATCCAAAATAACTATATTACCCGATTTAGTTCAAACTAGGATAAGACCCGCGCCTTGCGCGGGATGAAGCTATTATTTTTATTATGTTTTGAAAAATGAAACAATAGTTCCGTTTCATTCGGATTATAGGTGCTCAATCCGGATATCGGGTTTCGGTTCGGCTCAATTTTTGGTCCGATTTTTTGGTATTTCGATCATTAAAATATAACTACTATTCTAAATCTATATGTACTACAGTTTGATTTGGTTTATATACCATCGATTTTCAGTTTATTCAATTTTATACCAAAAAACATAATTATTTAGTTTGAGATCATATTATATATTATACAAATATATAATATGATCATATTTAGAGTCATATTGCCACATGGTCATTTATTAAAAAAAAATTATATATTTAAATAAAAGAAAAAAATAAAAAGACTTCTATCATCTAATAAAATGATCAAATCTAGAATTAATATCAAAACACTAAATTTTGAAAAAAAAAAAAACAGAAGCATGAAAGAAAAGTTTTTCTATTCTTCCATATTTAGTGTTCATCAAACCAATATGTCTTTGATTGAATACAACTCTGTTTGTTTAAAGATAAAAAAAATTGTAAAGAATTTCAACTAATTGTTGTCCATCAAATTTATAATCTTTACTTCAATTTAGTTACTGTTAAAAAAGCAAAAGATCAAAATAAGAAGTCTCAGTTGTAATAAATTGTTAGCTATTTACAAAATATAATTATAGTTCAACTCATGTAACAAATAGATATTCAT